AGGAAGGAAGGAAGGAAGGAAGGAAGGAAGGAAGGAAGGAAGGAAGGAAGGAAGGGAGGAAGGAAGGAAGGAAGGAAGGAAGTTTATTCAGTGTTTAAGGCCATTGGCCCACATCACATCACACAAAACACTCATTTGTTAAATAAAGTTTCCATAATGAAAAAGTACATGTTGTGCACATATCTCTTATCATGAGTCAGACATTGCATATTTCTGTCACTGGGCAGAGTTAGGCAGGGGGAAATTAAAGCTTTCAGATAAAACCAATAACTTCACATTATATCCAAAAACTGACAATCGCCAGATTCCGAATCATCGTGACACAAATAACAAAGACCTTCCTGACTCAAATAACTTCCTGAAACATTGAGCATCAATCAGATTTGCAATCAAAAGAAGTGACTAAAAAGTTACTGCCTTGAAAAAAAGATAACCTATATTGAATAGGCCTATTGAGTGGGAATGTTTTTCTTCCAAGAATCAAAGCCACATTCTTCACTCTCTCTTTTTTCTGAAGTTTCGTTTGAGCAAAAAGCTGAAATAAACGATCATTAACAAAGATATAGTTGTCTAATGCTGTGGTTTGTACCATTCCAACCCTCAAAGAGAGATTAGTAAATGACAACCAGGCTTTATTGAGCAATGATCAGGTCATTTGCCTTAAACACAAATGTATTTTTCTGGAAAAAAGTAATTTTCCTTTTTCAGAATTGCTTGAAAATTTTGAGTAGAGTTTTTCTTTTTTACTAGTTATAGTATCAGGAAGTGCAATTACAGTTGAAAACAACATATAATGTCTTAGTATAGTATAAGGTTTTACGGCGCTCGCAACTGCTAAGGTCATATGTCTTAGACAAAAAAGTTTTGGAATAATATGGCAGATGGAAGGTTATAGTTGGACACTTTCGAGATATATATATATTTTCTCCTTTCGTTATAACAAGCATCCTGTAATTTTTATTATCCCTTTAAAATGTCATGTTATTTAACCCTATCCATACGTCATTTTTTACTATCGTATCCATACACCATGGGGAACTCTGTGCCACCATGTTCCAAAGAGGAAATTTATTTGTTAATCCGATCCGTACGCTTTGCATAACAGTCTGTCAAAATGATTTTTTGAGAAATACTGAAAGTTTCAAAGAGATCTACGAACTAGGAGTATTCTAAAATGTGAAGAATACAACCCCGGGGGGTACAAAATGACCCGAGGGCGTAGGGATAGGGTTAAGCTGTTGTATCATGAAGTCGTAAAGGGGCATAACTCAGAATAATAGAAAACGTAACTCTACCTCATATCCCCCCAAGTCTTCATGTAAGATAGACCAAAGAAACAAATTCTTTCTCACCATCTTTGTCTGTGTCCAGATGTCTGTCGACAAATTTGTCCAGAAAGTTCATCGGTTTTCCCTCGGGAATGGTCATCTGGGCAGAGAGAAAGTAAAAACATGGAGAAAACACAATGTCATAATGTCATGTAATCACACTGAAAATATTCCCTTTGCATTTAAAAAAAAGAAAGAAAGAACAGTGTAGAGATATCAAGCATGAAGAAGTGCATGGAATCTGAATATCACGGGTCTCAATTCAGAATTTCAAAAAAGGAGGAACTTTCCGCATGATCGCGACAGAAGCCCATTTTTGCGATACACCCATTATTATTACACTGTTAAACCCTACTAGAAGGCTGAAATAAAAACCATCAATTTGTCAAAGCAAGGTTATTTCATACCAATTTGAGGGTTCGGAAAATTTCAAGTAAAAGAGTCACTCACCAAATATTTACAATCAGTTTATGTACAGAAAGTGGTGGCGCATTAGCGGTAGCGGAGGAGGAGAGAGAGATATGTGTATAATATGAACACTCACATCTTTAAGCGGCATCTCTAATCTCACTTTCTCGGCCTCCACACACAGCCGTTTGAAGGGACAGTGCAGCTTGATGTACACGTGTTCACCAACCGTGTCCGACTGGATGGAGAAACCTTCCTTCTCCAACAACGATTTGAACCTGGGGGGGGGGTGGGGAGCAGATAGAAACGGATTTACACACACGTACATGATTACAAACACATGCACACACGCACACACACACACACATTCAAATACACATGGACACACACGCACGCGCACATGCACACATATACATGCGCACACACGCACACACACACACACACAAACACACACACACACATACGCACACACATACATGTACACACAGAAATACAATATACACCACACGTATATACACATAATATACAATATACAAATACACACACACACACACAAACACACACAAATGCACACACAGGAAGTGAAAGTAAGAGAAGAAACAACAAATCCTAGCTACATGTAATGAATATAACAACTAGCCAAATGTTGGAAAGAAAAAAAACAGGTTTCTCCCTTCTCTTTTTCATTTTCCTTTTCATTCTTGCATTAACACATACACACATATACACACACAATATACACACATGCATACATGTATATACACACATACACACACAATACACACACACAACATTCCAAAATGTTCTGACACTATCCACAACTCTTGTCATTTATTCTTTGATATCCTTTTACTATCTCAAACAACAACTGGACTCAATTTATGAAAAAGGAACTTTATACTTCAATTTCCTGGTTGAGCAAATGGTCCAACTCAGGAGAATTACATCGGCAAGCTGTTCAAATGTATTATGCCCAGAAAATAAAATTCTTCGGGATAGAAAAAAATGTGAAACAAAATGAGTTCCTTCTCGGATTGGAGCCTGTGGAAATAGATACATCACGCTTATAGGTGAAGTTTTTGCACTTTATAAAAGTGTGAAATAATGAAAAGCACGTTAAACTCAAAATATGGCCTCAATTGAAAATCTACAAACTTGACCCTGGTATCGATGTTTGGCTAATAGTAATATCTCCACTTGTGGATTGCCAGAAGTACCTCATTTTGTCAGCACACCTCACAAATGAAGTTTCATTCCCTCAACAATTATATTTACATTAAGAATCTTTTCTTGCTTTTTTTTTCAACATCTTGAATTTGAATTTCATCCAAATATTTCTCAAATACATGAAAGAGACATAGAAAGAGCAATGTTAAAACATTTTCAAAGTTTCGGGCATTGTATAATTATTTGATCATCTGACCAACACTTTTGTTTGTTTGCAAGCATGAAGAACTGCAAATTGTGGTTACCTTTCTCTGTTTCTTTCATGTCTCTCTAACTCCTTCTTTTTCTCCGGGTCGTTTGTGTCCTTGGAGTAAACGCTGTTGTGGATCAGGACAAAGTCGATCCGTTTACGCTCGGGAATCAGAGTTCTGTCCAAGGCGATCTTTGAATACCTGTGGTGAAAAAAGTTTACCATGAACCAAAATGTATATATATATTATATATATATATATACAGCCATACATATTTATAATGAGTGAGAATTATCAAGTATCTATTTGACTTTACATCTTCAAAGTGATAATTGTCCTTTTTAACAAAATGATCTTTTTCTTTTAACGATATAGTAGCAATAGCTGCGTTAGAAAATGAGATTGGCAAAACTATGACAGCGCATCATTGGACAAAAATTATTGATATGTCTCATCATCATCATCATCATCATCATCTGTGACAGACATCGGCGATCATGGTTCTCCATTCATTCCTTTGCTCGGATGCTCTCAAAAAAGCTACATTTCCCTGATCTTTCCCTGTTACCCATTTGTTTAGGTTCCCTTAGTAGGTTGCTCTGGGCCTACCCCTGCCTCTTTTGCCTTTGATATGTCTAGCAACAGAAAAACTTGTAAAAGTAAATTTTAAGGTCCATAAATCACAACATGAAAAAATCAAACTCGCCTTCTTTCAAAAGATCCGAATCCTTTGCGTTTCGACATCTTGTGCTTCAATCTTTTTCTAACTTTTGAGTACTGTACTCCTATTGCAGCCACATCTGAGAACTCAAGCTTTCTCCTCTCTGCCTCTAGATTAGCCTTCTGCTCTTCTTTTGGTTCTTCCATTTTGACTGAAGCCCGTCACGGAGATCCTGAGAGAAATTCAGAGAAAGGGAAAAAACAAAAACATATATATATCATACCATGATGTCCTTCTGCATGTCTTAGATGTGTTAGTTTTTCTGTGTCATTGCAATATTCCTCTGTATGTCTTAGATGTGTTAGTTTTTCTGTATCATGTTCCTCTGTATGTCTTAGATGTGTTAGGTTTTCTGTGTCATTGCAATATTCCTCTGTATGTCTTAGATGTGTTAGTTTTTCTGTATCATGTTCCTCGGTATGTCTTAGATGTGTTAGGTTTTCTGTGTCATTGCAATATTCCTCTGCATGTCTTAGATGTGTTAGTTTTTCTGTATCATGTTCCTCTGTATGTCTTAGATGTGTTAGTTTTTCTCTGTCATTGCCATGTCACAGCATGTACCTCTGTATGTCTTAGATGACTCACTTTATCACACAGTGAGTGGTCAACCATAATCATGCGTTTAATGTTACTTATGGGCAACTTTGTATGTTGTGTGTAATGATATGCATTTTTATGTCCATATATATATGATACACATGGGTACCTATTTATTATAGTAATTGATTCCTATTAATATACAAATAACAGAATGGCAAACTACGTATAATTTTATTAGTAGAAGATCTTTTTCTTTGATTCTTTAAGATTAACGATTTATGCATGTGTTCACCATACCCATTTCATTGTTTATGCATTTTGAGCACCTCACAGAGATATTAGCTAATAGGGAATATAAACACAAAGTTTCATAACACATAAAATCATACTTCAAGTAACCAGTGAATAAAGAGAAAGAAAGTCTCATAATTTCTTCCAACGCTTCTTCTAAGAAATGGATCCAAGTTTTTAATTTAGTAAGAGTTACAGCGCTCGCAACTGCATGAGGTCGTATGAGCGCGCAATTGGTTCATGATCATGCAAGTACCGGGAAAATAGATCCACCACAATAGACAATAGTGTCTCTCCACTCCGATTTATTGATTGTTTGGTTAGGTTTTTTTTCCAGGCAATCTGATCTACATAAGCCCTGTTTTTTGTTGTTGTTTTTTTTTTAATTTGCAAGCAAAAACATAGGTAGGGCTGTTAATTGATTTTTTTTTCTCAGCCAAAGAGCTTCAGTTGTCACTTTCGATTGATATAAGGCCTACATTTACTGGGAAAAAAAACCCCAACAAAACAACAAACCGTTTGTCCACACTGACAAGCTGGTAATTTGAACACCACACCCATACAACAGGTTTTGTTTTTCAAGAGGTGTCTCACCAGGCACGTAATGTTGAGAAAATAGGAGCACCTTAGCAGAATGTGTCGTACTTGCGAAGGACTGTTAGAGGCTTGGTGAATATAAGTAGGCCATGTATAGGAATATATATAGGCTAATTATAAACACAACATTTCGCACATTTTCATTTTATGTTTAGAATAATTAAGAGAGGGGATCACAGAGAGAGACAGAGAGACAGAGAGAGAGAGAGAGAGAGAGAGAGAGAGAGAGAGAGACAGACAGACAGACAGACAGACAGACAGACAAAAAGCCAAGACAAACAAGTCTAGCTAGGTGGCTGCGGTCTTTTCAGCCAGGCCTATCGTTGTGTTTGTCTTTTAAATTCTTTTAAATTTTACTTTTCTACACACAAAAAAATTATATACGCTGAAAATATTTTCATACAGGGTTTATCTTTCAAAGGCAAAAGGAACACTTAGAAACAATAATCATTTTGTTAACCTTAAAATCTATAAGATTAAGATCAAGACCAAAGCTTTCAATAATCGCAAAAAAGCCACCGAGGCTTAGAGGACCCAGGTATACACCTAGTAAGCTAGATATTGTTGCTCATATTGAAAAAATATTGACAAATCAGGGACAGATGATATAAATATAAACCACAATTTGTGGAAGAAATTAAACAGCAGAACCTTTGGTTGTTTTACCTCCTTTTATCCCGCTATTTATCAAAGTCTCACAGACATATAGGCTGCCTTACTCATCATATATTGTAATTAGTATAAAGCTTACTGGACTGTATTGGAACGTTGGCCTAGCTAGAATCTAGATCTAGATCTAGATCTAGTCTTATTTTACGCTGAGCTCTGAGCCTGGTTAATTGTAGTTGTAGAAAAATTCCTGGGGTAAAACCATAAATTGGTCCTGGCAGTCCATTAAATTCTGCTAATTGATTCTCTCAGTCATCAATCGTCCAACAACTAGATCTACATAACTGAAAACGGCAACGAAGTACCCGATAACGATACAACTAGAATCTAGACCTAGATCTAGATTCTAGATCTAGATCTATACAAAGAAAACAGTTATAAGGATAATAAGCACACGTTAATCCGAGGAATGATAGAGATCAAGATCAACACACATTCGTTAACTACACAACACAGCCAAACGAAAGCAGCACGGCGCGAGGAGTTTCGTCTTTGAATACCATGACTTAAAAGCCGAGCGAGCAACTCGGTGCGAGCGAGCTACATAATGTGATATCAATAATAATTTCTCCACCACAGCAAACCAAACACACAAACACAATCACCACACGACAGGAAAGAAAATATAATATCTCCAACCACCACAGTCTAGATCAAGGCTAAATCTATAACAAAAAAGGAGATCTTTCAATCTTACGTTTCAGAGCAGTCTATACCATGCTACCCCCCACATATCGATCGAGCCGTCTTATGGCACACACAGTGTTGGCATTGAAACCCTCTATTCTTCTCTGTCTTCATTGTCGCCTCTCGCTACCTTGCGCTTCGCTCTCTGTTGATGTTGTTGCTATGTAGGCCAAGGGAAGTCACTCTAATAATTCAGAGGGGCAATAAAGGGGACAAAATAACTGCTTATTGACTTTCGTTTTTACAGTACACACACAGTTATATAGGCCCTAATATTATTATTTTAACTCGATCTATTATGATGGCACTGGCGATAAACAGTGTTTAAGCAGTATTTTCGTCCTCCTTCTTTTTAAAAGGAAAATTGAGAGAAAGAAAAAAATCTTCCGATTATATTAAGGCGGGAGAGGGAGGGAGAGAGAGAGAGAGAGAGAGAGAGAGAGAGAGAGAGAGAGAGAGAGAGAGAGAGAGAGAGAGAGAGAGAGAGCAAGAAAGAGAGAGAGAAGGGGGGTGGGGGAGGGAAGAGAGAAGAGGGGAGGGGGAGAAAGAGAGAGCGGAAGGAGAGAGGAGAGAGAGAGAAAGAGAGAGAGAGAGAGAGAGAGAGAGAGAGAGAGAGAGAGAGAGAGAGAGAGAGAGAGAGAGAAAGGGAGAGAGACTAGAGAAAAGAGTGAGTGAGTGAGTGAGAGAGTGAGTGAGTGAGTGAGGAGAGGAACATTAGTCTTTCCATGAAAGTCCCCTCATCCCCAGAATAGACAGATTACTCTGATATAGTTGCAGGCCTTCTCAAAGCCCAGTACAACATGTTACTACAGACCCATCCCCCACGACCCCTGGTGGTTTAGTGAAGTCTTGGGTCAGTTTTACGGCACTTGTGACACAAATAGGTCATATATAGGCCTACCACAAGAAGTTTAGAACTTTTAATCCCACCATAATATGGGGACAAAAGATTTCAATCTCAAGTCGTGTTACTAGAGGATTGTATACAAAGGAAAGAAGGAGAAAAGATGGGGACGATGGGTATGCGAAGGACAGAATTAGAGGAGAGACATGGACGATCGATACGAGTATATTATTATTAGGAAGGAGGACTGATAGGGACGATATATATAATAATAAAATTAGGAAAGAAAAAAGAAACCACACTACCAGAGCACCCGCCAACCACCCACGATGTGCGATAGGAAGGCAACACAATTTCTCGACCAAAGTGAATCAACAGTAAACGAATGTACGTTTCCAGTTTACTGGTGTTGTTCCTAATGCTATAAGGGCACCCAAGGCAAAAAGCTGCACACTCCTTCCTCTTATTCCCGCTATAGTCTACCACAGAGAGGCCTGCCTTAACGCTTTGCAGACCTAGCGAACCAAAGGCAAGGATGTGGTACATTTCGAACCATCATACTACATGAATCAGAAACATGAATTTGAGTTTTCATTATTTCATGCCTGTTGCTGCTTGCAACTTTGGGACAGAACTGAACAATCAATATGAATAACGGAAATATCCTTATATAAAGTTCCCCCCAAAAATACGTTTTCATGCGTTACGTCGAATGAGCAGAATATGCGCGTCCCTTTGAGTTACGCTGTTTGGTTCAGATTAGTATTTTTTTTCTCGACTTTTTTTACGGTGCTCGCAACTGCAAAAGGTCATGTGAGCGTGCGGGACACATTAAACATTTTCAGTTAGCATGATATTTTGAATTTTGCCCGGGT